TTTAATTGAATTAAATGTTGAACGTGTGTATGTGTGCCCTAATTGTTGCCCCTATAAATTCCACAACACAACACATTTCACACTTTTCACTCTCTCTCACGTTTATGCATTTATGCTTGCTTCATTGTTTCTTCATCTCTCCTAAACCCAAATCCCAAAGAAGAACTTGTTATCTCACTACATCAAAAATGGCAACTTCGTCTTCAACCTCTCAACAGTTAGAATCAACAATGGCTATCGTTTCTTTTTCTACAATGGGTCCTACTCCATTCAAAGAACCAGTAAGAACTTTCCTCACACCCATTGATCAACTGGAAGTTTTATGTGAGTTCTTGGTTGATTTTGAAAGCATTGCTGAAAATGGATTTGATATGCGTCCAACTGTGTCATCACAAGGATGGACACAATATTTTGATAGACTGGTTGGTCCAGTTTATCCTTGCTTGGTCAAAGAGTTTTGGATTCATGCAAGCGTTTTCCCCAAATTCATTATGTCTTCAGCTCTGGGTAAAGAGATCATTATCACTGAAGATCTCATTCGCAAGTTGATAGGATATCAAGAATCAGATGGTGTTACTCATCTGCCAGTAAGTCATATGGATATGGATGAAGTGTATAGTGAAGTCTTCACGTCTTGGGAAGCTTCAAGAAAGATAAAGGATTTGAAGGCTCAATACAAGAGTTGGGATAAGATCTTCTTGGGTTGCATTCATCATAGGAAATCTACAAATTCTCCTGACTACATCAACTCTGATCAGATGTATTTCATGTATTGTCTAGGTAAAGGCATCAAGGTGGATCTACCTTACTTATGTTTCACTCATCTATGGGGACATGTCAAAATGTCCAGAGAATCTTTCAAGGCAAAGCATCAGAAAGTGAGAAACTGGATTCCTATGGGAAGGCTAATCTCAGATATTCTGACTGAGAATGGTTTAGTAGGTCATCTGATAGAAGCTGGTATGAAAGAAGAGTTAGTTTCAGTTGTTGGAAAACCTGTGAATGGCAAAAGTATGCAGAGGATGAGGATAATGGAAGAACTTACTTCTGCACCAGGTCAGATCAACACTGAAGAAGTCAGCAAGAGAAGAATTCCCTTAGATGATTTTCCTCTCTTCTATGCTAACGAACCAAAGGAAATCATTCTGGCTTACATAGCTGAATGCTTAACAGATGGAACCCCCTTGCCAGAACATCTGATCCAAAGAGCAAATGAACCTGAACCAGATTTCTATGGGGAGAGACAAAGGAAGAAAAGAAAGGTCTCAGAAGGAGGATCTTGTAAGCCCAAAAGGAAAGCTTTTGGCGAAGCATCTTCTGCAAAGCCAAAGCGCATCAAGAAACAGAAAGGTAACCCTTCTACCAGTTTATCTTCTATTTTAGAAACAGTAAGAGAAGTACTAACATCTGAACCTCCTCCTTATGACCCAATTCCCTCACCTTCTCCTCCTCACATCTCTGAACCCATTTCTTCTGAACCACAAAAATCTCAACCATTACCTTCTACACCTTAACAACATAAAACTTCAGAACCACAACATCCACAAACATCTGAACACACAACATCTGTACCATCCACGCCTTCCTTCAACATACATCAGAAAACTACCTCTGAGAAAACCCCAACTTCTGTTCCACAAACATCTGAACCACAACCTTCTGTAAACCAATCTTCTGAACATCCCCCATCTTAAAAACAAACTTCTGAACCACCTCAACCTGAAACCATCCCATCAGATCCTGAACTAGTTGTTCTTGATCTCCAACCTCTGACAACTATATTTCCAGTTCCATCTGGATCATCTGAATCTTCTAATTCATCTGATTCCACTGATTCTGATAGATCAGATGTCATCTCATCTTTTCTCAAACCCTATGTTACTATTCCTCCTGACCCTGATGATGATAAGTTTTCATCAGAACCATCCCCATATGAACCTCAGATTGTTAAACCTTCATTTGTCCTCACTCCTTCTCCATCATATCCACCTGTTATCATTATTCCTTCTTTTTCCATACCTTCAACTTCTGCACCCATCAAAACACCATCTTTAGAAGCCTACCTAAAACCCAAACCTAGGTTGGATGTTGGTACTCTATTTGCTGGTTTTGAAAAAGAAATAAATATGTGGTTATCGATTGTCAAGAAGGAATGCATGTCCAGTTTGAATCCTGATGATTCTGAAGCTATCTGGAAGAGATTCAGATCCAGATTTGACTCTGTAGCTTCCAATCTTCAAGAGATTTGCACTGACGATGCCAAAGTCAGATTTGTTGAAGCTATTAGACAAACTCTTCTGAGAGTCAGCAGAAATCCAACCTTGCTTTTGGAAAACACACCTGCAAAGGACGTGTGTATTCCTTCTGAAGACTTGGCTGCTTCTGAGACTGCTGAAGTGTCTAAGCCTGAAGAAGTCATTCCAGAAGTTTCTACTCCTGGTCCTGAAGAGACTCTTGATTCTGCTCAAACTTCTGACATGATTGTCCAGAATGCTTCTGCTTCTTTGGTTATTCACGATGCCTCTGCTTCTGCATCTGCTCCTGAGTCATCTGAAGTGAAGAAAGAAGACGAAGATCTGCATGCTAAGTTTGCTGAGCTCAAGGCTAGTAACTCTGAGATAAAATCATGGATGGTTAAACAAGAAAACACCACTGAAGAAATCAAGACTTGGATGGAAAATTAAGAAGAATCCACTTCTGAGATAACGAATCTTCCAAGGATTTTGGCTTCCCGTCCTTCTTAGTTTCTTTATGTGTTTAAGCTCTTTTGTGTTAACTGTTTGTTTCTGTGTTTGGATTATTTTTATCAATGCATCTGAATGTTATGTTTTTCTGACTGAATCTATCATATGCTCTATTGTTTTTCCTCTGTTATTTTTTTCTGTCTTAAAGTTTTTTCTTAATCAAGATTCTTTTTTATATGACAAAAAGGGGGAGAAAATGGTAATTTTGATAATTCACATAAATAGTTACCAAAGGCAACTCATACATGATAAATTTCATCTAATCATATTTTTGAGTGTTTCAGAGCTAATAATTCTCATCTGACAAAATTCTAAGAATTAACTCTGAACTAAAGTCTGAGAATCTACAAGTTTCTTCTGATGCTGAAAAGAATACAGAAGCTAAAAGGGAAGTATTTAATCTTTTCAGAAGTATTCATTTCAGGGGGAGATTAATATTCTCAGGCGGAGAGATATTTCTTTTCTATTTAAAAAAAATTTCCCATAGTTTTTGTCATCATCAAAAAGGGGGAGATTGTTAGAACACAGATTGATGTTTAATATATCTCATTGTTTTGATGATAACATTAATGAAATTTTGTATAGGGAATTTATATACTTTAATTTTGTTCAAGTGTTTATTTGTTTCAGATATCAAAATTAATATTATTCTGGAAGCAAGAACGCCTCTGAACACTAAATAACGAAAAAGCTCTGAGCGTCAGAAGCAACACATCAGAAGATTCTGATCTGCTACAAATGACTCTGAGCGAAGCTGAGAAGAACTTGAGTAAAGAACATACGTAAAGCTTCAGAAGACTTTGGAGGTACTTATCGCTGCAAGTACAGAAGCTCTAATAAGCAAGTATGCTTTGATAAGCAAGTATGCTCTGATAAAGTATTTCACGCTTAAAGCACTTTGCTGCAAACTCTGATAGAGAAGCTCTGATTGAGTTAACTCTGATCTGAAGAACTAGGAACATCATCAGAAGTTCTGATGCAAGGCGTTCCAAAGTTGTTGAAGAAAATGTTGTTCAAATAAAGATCCGTTGGCATATTCCTTGTCCTTATCCAAACGACTCTTTCCTCATTTGTGCTTGACACAGGATTTCAGACAAAAAGGATTTGTCTGAACATTCCTCTTTTGAGAAAGGAAAAGTCAATAGAAGACAAAAAGAATAGAATGCACAGATTGCACAGTCTTTGAAAAATGGATTTCAAAGTACTACAAAAGCAAGTCTAAGCATCACTTCAACGTTGACAGAATTATTGACAAATTATTCAACTAAGCAACTCATACAAACCTTCTTTAAAGCTGAATAGTTTTCATATTCGTTCTTTAACTTGTGTAAAAATCACTGTTGTGATATAGCTTGTTAGAAGCAAATCTTAAACACATTTGTTAGTTTATCTTTTGTAAAAAGAATTCCTTAAGAAGACCAAGTTGTGGTCAGAATTTCTTGATTAGACTAAGACAGTTGTCTTAGTGGTTTACACTGTAATCAAGTTTGATTTAGTGGATTAAGTCCTTGTTGAAAAAGGCAAATCACCTTGGTATGGTGGACTGGATTAGTTTGAGTTCAAACGAATCAGGATAAAAATACAGTGTTATTTTTCTATCATCTTAATCGTTTTAAAACCCTTATTCAACCCTCTTCTAACTGTTTTTCCTACCTTCAAAGCACACCCAGTAGTTGTCTGTATTTATTTTGTTTTATTACTATAAATTGTATGTTTTATTACATTATTACTATAGTTGTTTGTATTTATTTTGTTTGTTTTATTTTGTTTTATTACTATAAATTGTATGTTTTATTACTATATTTTTTCTGACATTGTTCATTGAATAGACCCCAATTTGAAGAGGTTCACTTCAAATCTAAAACTTCATATTTTAGATACTTAGTTTCAGTACAAGTAATTACCTGCGTCATTAACCGTATTCGTTAAGTATAATTCAGTTGGTACCATGTATGAGTCCAGCCACTAAATTATTTAACAAAATATTTTCTAATTGGGTCGTACTTATAAAAGCAATATTGTTCAAATTTGTTCACATTCTAATTTAATAACAATAAATAACCATAACATTTTCCCTCCCCCTAGAATGATAAAAAGTCACATTCTAGACGATGACCTTGTTCACTACTATTGCTGCACGTAATCGAACATAAAAAGGAAGAATGGATGGCCAAACACAAGTTGTTATTTAGTTGATGATGATGACATTGCGAGTGTTACAATCTCATACTCATACTCCAATTCACCCGTGTTAGGTTACAAGTGTTCTCTGAAAATTTTCAACATGCCTTGAAAAGTAACAATCCCTGTCAAAGTTCCATCTTCCTGTACAACCCACACATAACTCAGGCGGTGTGCTAGTGCTTGAATCATAACAGCAACCAAAGAGCTCCAAGGGTAACAAAAAATAGCCTCTGACCTTCTCACAACCCTCGAAGAATATCCTCCGAGTTTCCAATTCTTCCCCGCCGAGCAAATATCTTCCTCCGATGATGTCGAGGAAAACGATGACCATGAAGGAAGCCTTGTTTCTTCCCCAAGTAACTCCAAGGTTGCACCAAGATTCTGCTCATACAGTCTCTCTTTTACCAGCTGAACTAAATCCTCCGGGGGACCACCACAGTCGATGTAAGCCAATATATCACCTGCTGATAGAGTCACCAGTGCAGGGGCAACAGCTTCATCGCAAGAGTTCAACAAAAAAGGTGAGATCTCTCCAATGAGCTTACCCTGCGGGTCAACAACAGCAACGGACGATTGGTGTACAATGGCAGACGTGAGAAGCTCCAAAGCAGAGGATGCAGGGTCATCATAGTAAAGAACAAACAGATTATTTGTGTCTATAATACCGAGTGAAACGATGCTATCGGTCGCCGGTGAAGGGGAAAATACCCTAATTGAGTTAAGAAGGTAGCGCATTACATCCTCTTGAGTAAGCCAACAGTAAGCACGATTGTCATTGTGCAAAATATCAGAGTCCAGAGTTTGTTTCTCTTTTTTCTTCCATTTCTTTTCATCCGATATTGGTATCACCACATTCTGCACCCCTTCGTACATTGCATCTATTGCCTCCAATAATCTGCATTACTACTTAATTAATTCTATAGAATATGACTTAAGTACCCAAATTGCATAGAACTAATCATTTTCTATTATTATAATATATAGAGGATAATATTATTTATCTTGAAATACAAAACAAGCTCGCAATAAATAAACTGTGCCTTTCAAATTGCCCTTTTGTGTTAAAAAATTAAAACCTAAAGGAAACCTGGCATTGGGTTGTAAATGGCGAACTAGTGAAGAATTATCTCCGTCAAAGAGAACTGAAACAGGAGACTGAAGAGCGGTGGAAGGTGAAGATAGATTCTCGGGTTTACAAAGAAAACAAATAACATCAACCATACAAACCGTTCCAATACATTTACAATGCAAATCCGCTTCTCCTTGATTACCAATTGGGGTTTTCGGTTTTTTATCGGTGATAGAATGGTGACAATTCCAAACGCTTAAATAAGAATGGCCTAATTTTTTGATGGCGTTAACAGCGTCGGCTACGGTGTCGGTGATAGAAATTGACCGGAGTGAAGGTTTTCCAAGACACAGATCGGATACTTCATGTCCGGATACGGATAATCTCACGGCCATACACAGATACGACAACCACGATAGCCGCGCGAAACTGTATGAAAATTGATAGCGAGAGAAAATGAGAGTTATATAGACGGTTTTGATTTTGTGTGAGAGAGCGGTTTTGGTGGCGGAAAATGAGGTGAATACGTTTGGATTTTGGGAATTTGTAGAGAAAAGTTACCTGAATATTCGATAAGAAGTCTGAGTATCTATTTATATTATTCTCTTTTTTTTTTAATTATAAAAAAATTAATTTGTTTAATATCTATAACAATATAAGTCAAAATGTATTTTTGGCAACATTACCTTTCAAAATTTAGCTGAAACTAAAAACTACTGATTCAAAATTGAAAGTAATGCATTTTAAATTATGTTACCAAAAAAAATGATATTATATTTCCACATTATTTTTTAATATGAATAAAAAAATTATGTTCCCAAAGAAAGATAAAAATAAATTTTCCGTATAAATCTTACTATTATTTTACTAAGTATTTTATTTGTATTTTTTTTATTTTTCTACTGTATCTAATTATTTTTAATTATTTATATAGAGACTATTTGTTCGTGTTATATTAATTTATAATACTATTATATCAAATAATTATTTTTTAAATTTTTATTATTTATGAGTATCAACAACTTGTTTGTTATGTTTGAAAGTTGAAACTTTATTTAAAATTTTTATTTAACTTATTTGCATAAATATTTATAGAATTTTTATTTGTAAATTTCATAGTTATGAATGAATAAATTCATAGAATTTTTTTTTATATTTTAGAGTTATGAAATTTATGTCAAAAATTTTATAAGAGCATCTCCAACCGTGAACTATTTTTGGGTTTTTTGTAGGACCTATTAAGTCACGTCAGCTTGAAGCAACTTAACTAATTTTTCACTCCAATGGTGCAACTCTGAAGAACTCATATTGGGTCTCACAACTTTACTTTATATATTAATATTTTATTCATATTAAATTTTATATCACTTAAAATAATAATTTTAACTTTTTACAGAAAATTATTTCAGTCTACTATATAGTGCTCTCGAGATCTTTTTTTAATGACAATCATTTCTTCTTTTTCAGTACCAACTTGAGTAGAAAATGGTGGGACTTGAGTAGAAAATTATGGAACTTGAGTAGAGAATTTCAGACTATTAGAATTCATTTGAGGTATAAGATACGTATTTGGATTGTTTGGTGACGGAAGAAATATGGCGGGGTTTCTTGGCACCAGTGGAATTTGAGAATTTTGAGGATTAGGATTTTGAGAATTTTGCATGTAATTGAAAAAAGCTTGTTGATAATGAAAATGATTATGATTCATTTGGCCTAAACAATTGTAATTTGAAGTAAAAAGATGAAATTTTGAGTTAAATATTTTGTAAAAAAAATGCTAACGAGAAAAAATTGTTGAAAAAAAATTTAAAATATAGAAATAAAATGATGAAATTGTGAGAGAGAAATTTCAAATTGAAGAGAAAATAAAACTGAGAAAAATTTGTGTTGGTAAATTTTTGGAAACCAAAATTATACTTATAATAAAAAATAAGTTTTAAAAAATAAAACAAATAAATAAGTTACCGTGAAATGGCTAGTTTTTATATTTATTATATTTTAATAAATTGAAAAGGCATTTATTGTTGCATAATAACGGCTAGTTTTTATATTTATTATATTTTAATAAATTGAAAAGGCATTGATCGTTGCATAATGAAGCAACGTCTGTCACCCTAGAATGTTTTTCACTATTATTTAATGCAAATAAAATGGGTCAGTTGGCGAACTACAATGAAAATCCAACGCTAGAGTTGGTCTTAGATGAATTTTTTTCAATTTTTTTTTTATATAAATTGAATTAGAGGTCATGTTATTCGACTAGTGATCTAGTGATCCGACCATTGACTCATTGACCTAATAGCTTGACAGAGTCGACCACCGATACGAGTTTTAAACAATTTGGGGTAATTAAATATAAAATGATTACATAAGCGATAAAATTAAAATCACCAAAATAAATATATGTATATGATTCTATGATATTGATCTCTAAATTATTGATTGAATTTATAATTAATCGAAGTTGATGTGTTAATATTAATGTAACAAACTCTATAATAAGATAGGAAATGTAACAACGTCGCACAAAGACAAAGAACAAAACAACTTTTCATGAAATCAAAAATAAAAATTATGTGAATAAGTCACTTATTTAGATAAAATGAGAGAGAAATAAAAGATTTGTTGAGAATAACAAGTGTGAGGAATGTGGGGAAGTCTCACATTAAAAATGTAGATACTTAAACATTTATAAGTTACAAAACTCACACACATATCACCTTAGAGTGTGTTTGGATGAAGTAATTGAGAATTTATAAGAAATTTAAAATTCTAAGTAATTCAAATGATTCAATTGAAATTCATTTATTTTTGAATTCTTTTGTTTGAATGGAGTATTAAAATGATTCATTGTTAAATTTTGGGGGTCATTTTCATAAATTTTTAAATTTTTAGATCAAATTAAAAATGTGAAAAGCAGGGATCAATTTATAAATTTTGAAAATTATTAGAGACTTATTTGCAATTTTTTTAAAAAATTGAGAATGAATTTGAAATTTTCATAAAATATGAGGACCATCTTGCAAAATTTAAAAAATTAATAATAAACAATTTAACATTTGCATTATATAGAGTGAATAAACAATTTGAAATTCTTTACTTTTTGGTGTCATTTTAAATTTCCTAAATTTAACATGAATAAAATACTCCATAAATTTATATCATTTTAACAATTCTCCATATTCTTTATCCAAACAATGAATTTTGATCCAATCATTTCAAATTCCCTCAAAAAATTACTTTTCCTAATTAAAATACTTCATTCAAACATACTCTTAAGAATTTTAGTAAGTATGTGGTGTATTTTTCACAAAGGTGTATTGCTCTTAAATAAAAATCTCAAACTAAAAATGCTCCCTCATGTTGACCCCTCGACTAGTAACCTCCCCAACAATGGTATCATGAACCTTTGGTTCGAGCGAAAGGGTTAGCTCACTTGTATCGAAAGTACCCCCACATCAATTATGGTTTAAACAAAGATCTAGTCGAATTGAAGTTGTCAATCAAGCCTGGGAAGAAGCCCATCAAGCAGAATCCAAGGCGGTTTGCACCGACAATTCTCTCGAAGATCAAAGAGGAGGTCGAAAGGCTTCTTCGGTGTAAACTCATCCGTACAGCCAGATAAGTCGAATGGTTAGCAAATATTGTGCATGTTATTAAAAAGAATGGTTCTTTGAGGGTATGCATAGATTTTAGAGATTTAAATGTTGCAACCCTAAAGGATGAATATTCAATGCTTGTGGCAGAGATGTTAGTCGATTCTGCCGCAGGCCACGAATATCTTAGTATGCTCGATGGGTATTCGGGATATAACCATATTTTCATTGCTGAAAAAGATGTCCTTTTTTTTATTCTCAGTTTGGAGCTGATATATTATTTCTTTTGAATGAAGTAGCATGTTGGTTTTATTGTTGTTATACTGCAAATCATGGAAAAATAAGGATGGACTTTTGTATTTGAAAACTTTTGATAATGGTTTATAAAAAAGTAAATGGGCTTGAGTTCGTGGGATTTATGGTGATGATTTTTTAGATTTTTTCAATCAATGAAGTCCTTTTTTTGTGTGTGTGTAGATTTTGATGTAACCAAACATGTATAATGGTGGGCTTTAAAATGAAGGAAAATGAATTTAAATTCTAAAATGAAAATCAAGATGGTTTATGATGGCTTTGAAAAATGACTATGATAAAAAGATAATTGCATTTGGATATAAAATGGATCTAAAAAATGGTTAATTGAAATGTGATCTGACCTGATCAGGAGGAATCACGGACTGGCCACACACCGTTGGGCTATTATCTGTTCGCCGGGGTGAGAACGAGGAGGGGGTGTACCTGCAAAGCACTCCGACGCCCAAGTAAGAAGTTGGACAGAGAGGAAGCAATAGTACAGAAAAGGGGGCAAGAAGAGTTACCTGACCCTCTTGAAGAAGAGGGTATTTATAGAGAGACCCCAGCGCTGGGCCAACGGTCATTCGAGGTGGGCCAGACGACCAGGCCCAACCCTAATGACTGCTAGGGCTTACGTGGCGTAGTGGAGACCAGGACGTGGTCTTCGCCCTAGTTCAACCGCTCCTAGGTCTCCGGAAAGTGGGTTTGACCTGCTCTTTTGGAGGTGGGCGGTTGGCCGATGACGTGTCCCCGCGGAGGGGAGCACGTGGAGAACGTGTGCCGAGCACGTTATTCTCCCGCGGAGGGGGCCCGGGGTGGTCTTGCTCGTCCGGCGTGATGGACGCCAAAAAGGGACGTGGAGCGGTAGCTTGAACCCGTCTGTCCGGCCCTGCTCGTCCGAAGGGGCGCGTGCCGGGGGTGCCCAGTTCGCTTGCTGGGCCGCCTTTGGTATTGGGCCTACCGAGGTGAGGCCCATACCGGAACAGGAGCCCCCCAAGTCGAAGCTCTAGAGAAGAGCGAGGACTTAAGGTCGTCGTGTCTGGAGCGGGGACTCGCACGAAGGGCTCCGGTCGTCGGTAGAACGGGGAAGAGGCAGGTGAGGGGACGCGACCGTCAGGTTGCCTCCACGTGTCTTGTGTTAAGCGGTCGTAGGGGCGGCTAGCCTATGTCATTAATGAGCCTAGAGTCGCTTCGAGTCCCGCGCCGGGTTATAAATATGGCGGTCCTCGTTCATTCTGTTACTTTTCTCCCTGCTAATCTTTTATCGTCTCTGCTCGTCCGCCGCCTGCCGCCGATCGCCGCCGTGCCGTTTGCTCTTTTCTTCCGTCCGCCGCCGTTACAAGTGAGTTCCTCTTTTCCCTCTCTTTTTATTTCCGTCGTCTAACTGGAACGTGTGGTCGGGGCGGGATGAACGCCCCGAGGAGGGACGCGAGTTCCGCCGCGTCTGGCGAGTCTTCCGATGAATGTCCCGGGGACGGTAGGCTAGTTCCGATGAATGCCCCGAG